ATACCATACGAACTTTGACCATACATACCATACCTATCATACCTATCATACATACCACACATACCATACATATGAAACATAATTACAACACCTACCATCCATACAATACCAACCATACATGTCACACCCAAAATACCATACATTCCAAACATACCATACATACCATACCAACCATACATGCCAATCAAACCATACATATCAAACATACCGTACATGAGATAATTACATACCATATTCACCATACCCACCATGTCACATATATTATCATACATACACTACACCCCCCCCGCACCACACACCCCGCACCACACACACACACACACACACACACACACACCCCACCACACCACAAGGGGGAGGGGGACAGTACCACACCCCCATCACACCAAAGGGGGAAGGGGGACAGTACCACACCCCCACCACACCACAGGGGGCAGAGGGCGACAGTATTATGGCTGACCCATGACCATGGACGCGGGGGGGGTTGGAACGCTGGACCATATATATATATATATGCATCATATTTATATACTCACTTTGATGTATATGGTTAAATAATCCCATAACTAATATAACTAAGTGTCTTTGTCCAATTATATGCTACTTCTATCTACTTCTATTCAACGATCACCAATGCTGTAGGGAAGATTCCCTGGGATTAATGGGTCGTGCCAGGAGCCGCGTTTCGGTTCGGAGCCGGGTACTGTGGGGAGCCGAGTACACTGGGAAGATGGTAGAATTGGTTACCTAGCGGTGCAGCTATGTAGCAATTTAACATGTATGGAATGCAATCTAATGCAACATTATGGAACGGCATAGTGAATATAATGTCAGCTAACTAAGGCAATAGTATGTGATATGATGTGATGTTAAGCGATGTAAATATCTGTGTGTGTGTATGCATATGTGCATGCATGTGTATGTATTTATAATATATACATATATATACATATATATACATATATATGTATTTAAATATATTGATTATAAATGTTTATATATTGAATACATATATACATATATATAATCAATGTAATTGTGCATACATATATATATTGATTATGTATATATATATATATTATATTTATATATATTGAGTATACATATATATATATATATTGGTTATATATTTATTCGAGTATATATATATTGATTATATATTTATTCGGGTATATATATATATACATTTACTTGCATGTTTATATATTTATATGTATCTATATCTTATATATATATATATCGTTTGCTTCATTTGTGTACATTATATAATATCATATTTCATTTATATATATACACATGTTTATTGTTTTTTATTTGGCCACACATACTGTGTTTGGGGAGAAAGCCGTAGGTCTACTGTGTGAAGCAACCAGAGATCAACTTTGACTCACAGGTTGGGGATAACTAAAACAAACAATTTGACATGTTCATCAGCAAACAGGATTTTGAGGATCCTAAAATGAAATGCCCGGAGATTTTGTTGGGTTTGTATTCTTCTCCTTCGACTTGATTGCAGGTGTTGTTTGATGTTTTCTTTCGTGCACGCTTGAAGGCTACAATCAAATACAATCAAATACAACAAATATATCAGTATGTTATAAGTAGTGTAAGTCGGGCAATGTCAAGTTATAATTGGGCTGACTCAATTCATAACCTCAGTTATTGTTGACTTGTTCAGTTTTTGAGTCAAGTAAAATTTGTGCTTTAGTTATGTAATGCTTTGTGAACCACCAAATCGTTGTCCCCTTGTTTTTTTCGGTATTTCCAGTCGATAATCCTGTGCGCAAAGGAATATCTTGGCGAGGCTGGGCCTGGTTCGATGGTCGCGAGACGCCAGGATCTTTTGTAAACATGCGCTCTCTCCGTCTATAAATGTGTATCGCTGCATAAGATAAATACAGGGATTCGGATAGATGTAGATACAACTATTCTATATTCAATACGTGCATGCATTACTATTATTTGTTTGTCTATGTTCCATTATGTTTTCATTCAGAATTTCACATTCACTGTGTGATTCTCCTTCGGTTCATTGATTTCGCTTCGAGTCCACGTGATTCAAAGAAATCTTGCACCAGTTCATATATAGGTGGTTTATCCGTCTATCCCATTGTTTCCAGGATTTCAACCATCCTTTTGGTGGCGCAGGATTTTGCATCCACAGTATCTTTGTATAAACATTGCACACCTTTCTGTCCTACACCTTGAATGAACCCATACCTCTCTACTTTTGTTTTGCCAAGCTGGAAGAAGCACTGCCATTCTCACATGGTCCTCTTCGTGCCACTATCCTGGAGGCTCAACCTATGTACTGCATTCAAATCCACCTTGACCATAGCTATGAAACACCATCAGTGTTAACGGGCAACTATCTGTAATGGGTAATGATCCATAGCTATGTAAGAGTACTGGAGGGTATAATCTTACATTATCTTACATTTTACATTTGTTTACCATATTCCATATAGTTTCACAGATAGTTTGCTGGAGGGTATATGCTCCTCGCATTACTAGATATCAGTTCCCCCCGATAATGAAACGTGGCAATGGAAAATCACTTGGTATTTCAATGGGAAAGTCATCTATAGATAGTGGATTTTCATGGATGTTCCGGAAAACCATCTTTGATTACCAGCGGCTAGTTACATTAATCACCATTGACCATTTTATCATTACACCAGTAGTACCGCACAAGGCGGTGGCGGAAGTTTCAGAATAGGAAACCTATAGGAGAGCTTGGTTGTTGTGAGTGCATCACGGATGGCAGAGCGAATCCACTGATGGACTGAAAGGTGGTTGGAGTTGTGGTGTTTTGGAGTAGTTACAATGGTTGCAGTGGTCACCTGGTGTAGTGTGGTGTAGTGCAGCTGTAGTTGTAGTTGTAGTGTAGTGGAGTTGTAGTAGTGGTGTGTAATTAGTGTAGCGCAGTTGCAGTTGCATTTGTGGTTGTGTAATGAGTGTAGTGTACTGTAATGTAGGGTCGTGTGGTGTAGCGTAGCCGAGTGATCTAGTGTAATGTAATTAGTGTAGTATAGTGTAGTGTAGCGTAGTGTAGCTTAGTGTAGTGTAGTGTAGTGTAGTGTAGTGTAGTGTAGCGAGAAGTGTGGTGAGGAGTGTGGTGAGAAGTGTGGTGAGAAGTGCAGTGAGAAGTGTAGTGTCGTGTCGTGTAGTGTAGCGTTATTTAGTGTAGCATAGCGTAGCGTAGTGTAGAGTAGTGTAATTGAGTGTAGTGTAGTATAGTGTAGTGAAGGTAGTGAAGTGAAGATAAGTGGAGTGGAGCGCGGGGCAGTGCAGCGCAGTGTAGTGTAATGTAGTGTAATGTAGTGTAGTTGTAGCTGTAGTTGTAATTGTAGTGTAGTGTAATTGATTGTAGTGTAGTGAAGGCAGTGAAGTGAAGTGAAGTCGGTTGGAGTCTAGTGTAGTGTAATGTAGTGTAGTTGTAGTTGTGATGGAGTGGAGTGGAGTGGAGTGGAGTGTAGTGGTGTGTGTAGTTGAGACTGCTACAAAACCCTCACCTTTTTCTCACTTTTGGCAAGGTGCAGACTCCCTTGTGCCTGCCACGCAAAACGACATCTGAACGTCCAAAGTGTTCCGTACCCCGCAGTTTTTTGCACTTTTGACTTCGAATTGTGCTTCGCGCCACAACGGCGTGCACTTTTTCGACGTCTCAACTTCCAAAAGTGGTCTGGAGCTGGTGTGTTTTGTTCATTTTGACTTGGAAATGTGCTTCGTGCCACAATGGCGTGCACTTTTTTTACATCTCAAATTCCAAAAGTGGTTCGGACATGGTGTGTTTTGCAGTTTTGCACATTTTGGCTTCGACACGTGCTTCGCGCCAAAACTGCGTGCACTTTTTCTTCATCTCAACTTCCACAAATGCTCTGAACGCGAGGGGTTATTACATTAGCTTTTTCACTTGCACATGTGCTTCGCGCCACAACGGCGTGCAATTCTTCATCTCTCATCTGGCCAGATGGCTCCGCATCCGCCGCTTTAGCGAGCCTACTTTTCGACCCTCCGGAGCCACAAATCATTGGAAAAACATGGTGAATCGCGGCTTTGCTACCTTTTCGTGCGCCTGCATCTTCTTTCTTCTGACTCTTTCTCTTCTCTGATCTTCTCTCTTCTTCTCTTCTCTTCTCTGACTCTTCCCACCTTTGCTTTTCCATCTGTCCATACTGTCGGAAGTTTGACTTTTAAATTTCCTTCGGTTGAGCATGTATAGCCATTGTTTGGTATAGGGCCTTACGACGCTTCCTGGCTCCAGCACGGTTAGAGCGCCAGTGTTTTCAGGGCCGTGCTGAGGCGCTGCAGGAATGTGCCACGCCGTTTTGTTTACCTTAAAACCTACTTGGGGATGCAGTTGTGGTGAATTGTTATCGCTAAGACATGGTATTACCATGGGAATACCCCCCATCAGGTGGGATATAACCCCTGCAAGTATGCCTACATAAGCATTTATAAGTGGAACTGCACCCCAAGTATGGCAGTTGCTGCAAGTTTTGCATAGGAAACCGATTCTGTGAGCCAGCGCATTTTTTTCCGTGTTGAGAAGGGAAACTGACTAATCAATGGATGGTTAGCCAACACCTCTGTTTAGAAGTTGGCAGTTTCACTCGCTAAAACGAAGATATCACCAAAAAATGCCACGGCTGGTGCCTGGCAACTGGTTTATCTGGTTTTGCCTGATGTTTTCCGAGTTCCGTGCATGGCTGGGATTAGTTTAACGATGCAGCAAAAAAATGCAAAGGACTTGGGCTGCCCCCAAAAATGACAAATCACCCAGAGAAATGCTGGCCCTTATATCAATCACCCAGGAGTTAAACAAAACAGCCTTGTAAGAGAAGGCCCAAATCAGTGCACATGAGGTGAGAACAACCCAAACTACAAAAACTTAGGTTTTCAGATCTATTTTTTGAGTGCTGATAGTTGCTTTAATTGATCACCTTGCAACACCTAGCCAAAAAACCCTGGCAGCCGTGGCCCCAACTGTCTAGGCGATGTTGAACTTCAAGACTCCGGAGCCTGGGCTGGTTTTGTTGAACTTCGAGTGGCCTATGATGGCCTATGGATCATGGCAATCCCCCCCAAAAAAATAGAAAAAAAAAACAAACCCTACTATAGGTTTAGAATGTCTAATTATAATGTATTATAATTTTATAACGTTCGTGTTTTGGAGGTATATCATGATGACACCCGCCTCGCTTCGAACTGTTTTGCCAGCGTTCCCGTCCGAAGTCAGTTGCACCATCGGGTAATTTGACATAGTTACTTCAAAGCAACAACGTTTATATAGTCGTTAAATCCCGGTAATTTTCACACGTGTCCATCCCATAGCTATGCTACCGGATCCACCTCGGGTCATCCTAAAGATCTTGGGGGTTCGGGAAACCCACGGGTTCAGGAGTGCGAAAATTTGGGCACTTGGCTCAACAACTTCTCGGAGCACAAGCGTTCCATCAGTCACCGCATCGGCAACGACACCCGATGGAAGCGGCCGCAGAATGCCTACATTCCAGGCCAAGATACCGCCAAGATATCTGGGACCAACAAGGGTCTTCAATGTTGATCCATATAATTATCCGTAATTACTGCATATAAAAATATATATGATAACATAATATCATGCATATATATAATACATGTCATCACATACATAATGACATACCTCTATATATATATATATATATATACACATGCATACCTTGATAGCTAGCTTATGTTTCTATGCATGTATATATATATACATATGATATACATGCATAGTATTTCCATGTATTTTACATACATGTATGCACCGCCAAATCTATATGCACACACACACATATATATATAGATAGATAGATATGTGATATATATATATATATATATGTATGTATGTATGTACATGCATTTGGATTGCGGACACCAGATCCATATTTTTTGGCCCAGGGGCATCCGATGCTGACTCCTGACAGGTCCGGGTGCGTACAAAGTAGACCGAGACCATCCAGAGCATCCTGATCATGCTGCTTGACGAATATGGCGTGCCCATGGATCTCATGGATCCGGTAGTGTTGGGCTCTGATTACTGGATCCATGTCTTGGAGAATTTTCACTTTCATATGTTTAGCCTGAAATGAATAGAAACCAACGATTTCAATGCGAAGTTTGGGGTCGGCACCATCTAAGCAGTCCATAGCACATGGGTGGAGAAGTGTCGTCCCGCTCCCGTGTGTTGCATTACTCTGACTCTAACCTGCCCGGAAACCCAATCGGGAATGTTGTTTGAGCTAGAAGTGACTTAATGGTTGGCTTTTGTTTCTTTTCCTTTCCCCCATCTCTTTTGAGACTCAAGGACTCAAAGATGTTCAGAGCAAAGTGGCGAGTCTTCAAGTTGTTTTCTGATCAAATGTAGATATTCCGTCATTCTGCTTGATCCTTCACTGTCTATATACTGCTTTGAGGTTTGAACTTCATAAATCCATGCACAACCAGTTTGGCATCCTGGTTTAAAATAGTTTAAGGCAGGATTGAAACCACCACGAGCCATGAAATTGGGTTTCCAAGTGGCTAGACTCAGATTCCAGCGACAAAAATGCTGGATACCAATGGTCAGATGGCTTGAAAACCAACCAACGACTGATCACCGGGGTATTGGAAAATGGTGACCTACGTTGTGCCGTGATGTGATCCCGACGCGGCAGTTATGGATCCACCACCAGGAACCTCTCGAAATAATGCCCAACCAACTGGATGGGTAGTTTAATTCTTCAGCGTTTTGCAAATGGAAAATAACAAATAACCATTTATAGTGAGTTTTCCCATTCAAAATGGTGATTTTCCATAGTTATGTTAGTTTACCAGAGGGTAACCATAAATAACCAGTATTTTTTCTGGACTACTATAGATTGACCATGTTTAAGTTGGTGAAGCATCCAGTTCTGTTTGCTCCGTAATAATAACATGCGGTCCCAATGAGAAACTATCCCGTCAAACATTTGGGGATCATTGGAAACATCATCCCAAGCCAAATACTAAGATAGTAAGCCTATTAAACCCTCATTTTGGCTGGTTGAATATTGGCTTTACCACATCATCCGATGATGGTGATTGATTGATATCGGATAGGCCCATCCAACTATGGATACATATGATTTATATGATATATATATATATAGATAATCACCATGTTTATATGTATATTATATATATTCCTTATTATTCCATCATTTTTATACGTATGTATATATATATATACACACATGATCCATCCAGAAAAAAAATAGTTGGATTAACTCATGAAATATCATGAAATCAGTTCCCCGGATTCCGCTGCAGGATATGGGCACCGAAGCCTTCTCCATTGTGAATCCCAGTTTTTCGAGCCTCAAAACTGACGAATTTTGGGGGATTAAACCATAAAGATGTTTTAGCGATCTATATTCATATTATTTTATATGATGTATACATATATATAATTATATATATGTGTATATTATATATATAAATATGACCATATATGATTTTTACATGGATATATCTGGGTAAGTTATAACGACCTCACTGCGACCTCACTATGATCATGATTAGTAAGAGGAATCATCCCCAAGATAGCCTTATTTCAGGTTAGTGAATTACAGTATTCAACACATACTGATGATGCAAGATATTACATGGCTAGGTGGTTTTGAAGGAAAACATGTTTCATTTCCATCCACTTGGAGTAATCCCCATGTCGAGCATGGATCAAGACATCAACTCCTGTGGAGGCCTCGATTTTCACTATGGGATACTACCCCAGGTCGCCATTTTGATGGAGAAAATGATGATCAACCATGCCAACTGTTGATAACTCTTGGGGATACCAGGTGTAACACAAGGATACCCCCAAGTTGGGGCGGACAGTGCCTTCGTCATTGTTTTCTATAACAGTTTTCAGGATTTTGTTCAGGGAGTTGCTGATAATTTATCCATTGGAGTTGCTGATAATTTATCCATTGGTGTTTTATATATACATATATATATATATATTTGTATGTATTAGATAACTCTATATTGATTGTATCAATCTATATGGAAAGATTAAAATATGAATCTGATAGGAAAGATCATCTACCCTCTGGTAAATTAACATAGACCCTGGCAGTCATCGGGGTTGGAAGACTAGTTTCCATTAAAAATTGGTGATTTTCAGGGTCTATGTTTATTTACCAGAGGGTATATTGATTGATAAATTACTGTATGTATCGATGATCTTTCCCATCAGAGGTTGTTTGGTTTCCGAGGATTCCACGGGAGAGTCGCGTGGCGCCCGACGGAGCCATGAAGGGCATCTCTTTGGGAAGACCCCAGGAGACTGGATCTGCGGTGATTGCAATGATTTGGCAATCATTTTCCCCATGGAAAATCCACGAAAAGGGGAATCTGTAATTCTTTTTTTTGGTGGGTGCCTAAGCAAATCGCAAGACATGAAAACTGGAGGAAGATGAAATTCCGCAATCTTAAATTTAGTAGAATTCACTTCGGTGAGGCTGTTAAAGGCCAATTTCGAGGGAATTATATTATTTGTATGGCTCAAAGATGTCAAAATCTCAGAGTTAGGGGGCGGATGAAGATCCATTTGGCACGTATTTTGCACGTGAACACCAGGGGTTTGGATCTACATGTGTCCAGGGCCTTCCTCATTAAGGGTCACTACATACGATGACTTGAACCAGCCAAACAACTGCCGCCATGTATGAAAATGCGGGTGTGCCAAACAAAATGGTGGGTACCCCTAGATTGCAAGTGTTCAAACGGCAAAACAAGATATTGAATACCCTCTGGTTATTTAACATAGCCGTGGAAAATTGCCCATTTCTAGATGGTTTACCTATTAATAGCATGGTGATTTTCCATGGCTATGTTAGTCATAACCAGATGGTAAAAAACGATGGTAAGCACTGGATCAACGGGTGCCCAATTCTCAGACAAATCCATCGAAAGAAAAATGGATTGCTTCAAGGGAAACATATCAGGAAACCTCCATATATCATAGAAAAATCCATGGTTTCCTGCACATTTCCGATTAATTAAGATTTAGCCTTAAACCAATCCATTGAGAACCTGTGAACTGCTCCGTCCATGTGCCATGGCATGCTCTTCGGTTTCAAAGTCCTCACCGGGTCACGGTGATGCCATCGCTGCCAAAAAAAGTGAAAGTTTCATCAAGACATGGTACAGCTCCCTACTGTATGTTATTGTATGTTCAATCCAGTTTTTTTTGGTAGATATTATGGCATATATATATATTGGTTGATAAGTGAGTGTATACCATACGGAGCCCTCACCCTTCGTTTGATGTTCGCCAGGAAGATGCAGTGGTGGGTCAGTATTCCGTGCCAAGGTGCCGACCTTTCTCACCGGGATGTCTTTCGGATCTTCGTTGTGAAAAATGGGGCTATATCCCTTACATAGCCCTTACATCGGCGTTATATATGGTAAGTACCCCCCCCCAAAAAAAATGGTTCCTGAAATGGCAATTGACTTGTGATGTTTGATCATTTTCATCAATTGAGATGGGCGCCTTGGACAGGTTAGGGCTTATCTCGCAACAGAAGCTTGGCGATGTAACATGGGTGACATTGTGATATGGAAAAAATGACAGGTACCCTCCAGTAATCAAACATGACTTGATGGAAAAAATCCACCACTTATATGTGATGTTTCCTTTTCCCATTACCCTCTGGTTATTTAACATAGCCATGGAAAATGGCCCATTTATAGATGGTTTACCTAGCTATAAAATGGTGATTTTCCATGGCTATGTTAAATAACCAGATGGTAGTGGATTTCCAATTGCCGTGTTTGATTGCCAGAGGGTATCACTTGATGCTGGTGCTGGATGTCATTTATAAAAGACCAGAAGAAGACCTGCACTGTTTCCCAGGCCTAGATTTGGTCACCACACCTGGAACCAACAACTGGGTGTGTCTGCACATGGGGTACCGTTTTGTAATTCATATAGCTATTGAAAGTGGCCCATTTAATAGGTGATTTATGGACAAATAAGGTTGACATGTTTGATACATTCATCAACTTTCAACATTTATTGATATTTATTGCATTTAGAGGTGAAACTTACGTTAAAGCTATGTGATTTTGTTTACCGAAGGGTATACTAATGGGTATACCCAACTTGGCAACAAGTTCCCAACATAAAAACACCAAGATCCCGCTGAGGAAAGAGTTTGCTGCGTATTTCTTCACCAGTGCCAAGGTGGAAACGGCTCCAAGTGTCTCCTCATTGAATATGTTTGATATATATATATTATTTAGATGTATATAAAGATAGATAAGATATATAGATAGATAAGATAAGATAAGATAAGATAGATAAAACGATAGATTAGATTAGATAGATAGATACCTCTAGCCTCTAGCTCCCATAGCTCCCTCCTAATTTTTGGGCTGTCAAATCGCGTTTTTTCTGGAAGTTCGGCACTTGCGGTGATGCTGCGGGTTGGAATCCCGAGATGTTGTTTTAGAAGTAGGTTGGTTATGATATATGGTGAGTCATGGTGATTCATGGTGATTCTAACTGTTTTATAAACCAGCTTACAACTGCAGGGCGCCACATTCTTAGGCTTTTGCTGGATTGAAGGGCGTCCATCCCCGCACAGGATTACCCAACTGACTCAATTGTTTGAGATGAGGTGGGATGAAAGCACCAACCAGATCCACTCAGCCACTTTAGCATCACAAACTCGCCCGGTGACCGATACCTACCCATTTCTTTCACGTCCGACAGGAAAGCCAAGAGGCGTTGAGAGAAAGGAAGAAAACCAGCGATGTTCCAGGCAACCTCTCAGGGTCAATCGGAGTACCCTTAAACATGGTCCAAATTCAATGGGGAAAATTAGCTTCACCATCAAATTTGGGGGATCCTTTTTGAAGACCCTACATGATCAGGTAAGGAATTGGGAGTGGAGATGGGTGTGAAGCTCACCATGCCGTACCCACTAAGAGAATACATTGTGGCTTGGACGTCTTGTGATATATTCCTAGCCAGCACGTTTCCATATATGTCCCATTTGTATCCAATTGTATCCATTCTTCAGTTCAGATTCTATCAAATCAAATCTATGAATTACAAGAAACATAGGTAGTTAACAGTGAACAATAGTTAATAGAGATACTACTAATATCTCCTATGGAGTGATTAGTACTTCATGGTAGTTCAGCACACCTATGGTCTCATTGTCGATGATCCGATGTGCAGGCCCAGGGATGTACCCGGTGAAGCGATACGGCGATGATTTGGGGAGAGAAAAGACCAAGATCATCGCTGCTCGGTTCCACAAGTTTTACAAAAAATGTTTTTTCTGGGTTGAGATATATCTTGAGATGACCATTTTTTGGCCGGGATGGGTTAAAACATGTTAAAGCACCAACCAGGTGGTTCCCCTGATCTACATACCCCCCATATGGAACACCAAGATGAACAGTTCCAGTTCCAAACAATCAGGGGTTTGTGTGGAGGCTATTCAATGTTGGAACGAAGGGACAACATTTGATTCTGATGATGTGTTTTTCTTGTACGTCCCCTCAGCCACCCCACAACAAATATCATTAATATCATTGTTTTCTGATTCTTGACCATTGGACCATTTTTTTTGCACGTTACCTCGAGTTACCTCGTTGCATGTCTCAAAAACTATCCCCAAATGACAAGTGAAATGACCCTGTGCTCCCAGGGTGAGGCAACTCACAAGACTGATCCCAATCTGGATTTGACTATGAGGTTTCCTGAAATGGGGGTACCCCTACATCATCGATTTTAATAGGATTTTCATGGATTTTCCCTTATAAACCATCCGGCTTTTGGGGATTTCCTATTTATGGAAACCTCTATGTGGATTTGACTATGCTTTGATATGTGCAAGATCATGTCAACCTCATGTGATTGGACGAGAAGATCTGCAGGAAACCCATAGGAGCCTGCCTGGTGGTGAAAACCCATCGAACACCAGGATATCCCCAGCAGCACAGATTTGGTGGGGCCACCCATGCGGATCGGAATCTTTCAGACTCGTTTGAAGCCAGTTCCCTCCAGTCAAACATGGCAATAGGAAATCCCCAATTGTTGTTTAGAGGATCTAATGTAATATATATATATAATATCATCATCATTACTATTATAATATATATATACATATGTATATATATATATATATATATCATATATGTACATATACATATAGATACGAATTGGCAAATGTCCTTCCCCTGGTCACAGTACTACACGCTAGTTGCTAGGAAAAAGCCGTGAAAAAGGGCACCCGATGTTGGGCGGCAGGACCCGTTTCCAACATCGCATCCCGTGGGATTCAACCCCTGTTGGAGCCCCCAAAAAAAGGAACCAGGGCGCATCCAACTCCGAAACCTCCCACAATCTAACCATTTCAACTTGGTGCCATGGCAGAGATGACATTGCCTTACCACTTTGGCTGCATTTAATGACATAGGGGTACAAGCAGCAGCTGGTGGGAGTGAAAGTGACAAGTGAGAAGTACATTATTCAGGTCGCCAAGCCAATGTGTTGTTTCTTTACCTGGGAATGCGAATACAGAGTGGTTTCATTTCCACCACAGGTTCTCCTCCTCTGTCTCCAAACAAGTATACACTACCCATATATTATGTCTATATATATATATCTGTTTGTGTGTCTGTGTGACGTATAGATCGAGAAACAGAGAGAAAGAGAGAGAGAGAGAGGCGTATGTGTGTGTGTGTGTGTGCATGTGCAAATTTGACATCATTTGTGCACCATTTACAACACTAAGGACTTGTGGTTTCCAATATCTTTGGGTTTCAGCAGGTTATGATCCACAATGATTGCTTTTTGGGGGGGAATCTAAAACACATACCGGACAGATGAGTGCTAATTAATGCTAATACCCTAGTGTTCGCTTGGAAATTCGGTTCGGCAGCATATTGGGTTTTCCAGATCCGTGGTGAATTATCATGGTCCCTATGAACTCGACTATTTTGGTGATGAATCACCATACAAATCAGCCATGATGGGTAGACCCTTCCGGGTTTGCTTCAGGACAATATAGCCGTAAGCTCAGTGACCAGAGAAGTTCCATGGCAAGGTTTGGGGCAGCCGCTTGCGAAATGCTCACCACTCACGAGCTGATTCTTTTGGTAGCGGTGAGGTCACATCTACCAGTGCATGAAGCCACGAAGTACAAGCATCCTGCCCGTGATTGATCAGGAGAGGGGGGCCGAGTACAAACCTGTTTTTGTTTTGCTTAGATCTCCAGATGAGTCATCCTTGGCTACTTTGGTACTTAATATGTATATATATATATATATATACACATTTGAGCACATGGAGAGTCAATGGAGAGAAATAGTACTATCCACTTTTCGACTGATTACTATAGGGGTGGAGGACACGAGATTCCTGGCCACGCTTTAAACTGGGTGAACTTAGGAAAACAAACATCAAGAACCCTTCCAACAGAAAACAAGTATGCAAAACCATCCTTAACCCATGCTGTGCGTTTGGGAGCGCAGTTGGGATTATAAATGGTTGCAACCATGGTGAAAAATATATATATATATATATATATATACAAGTAAGGATATAGCGCCAATAACTATGCTGAAACATGTATGTCTACAGAGTTGATTGGAACTACACACAGTTATGTTCATTGTTCGATCATGGATGTTACCGACATGAAAATGAACATTGCAACCAACATCACCAGGAATCCAATAGGAACATCACCTTGGACACCCCCTATGTTGGGGAAAAAATGTTGTTTAAACTGGGAGGGCCCAAGCTTAGCCTCCTAGTTTAAGCTAACGCCGCCCGTAGAGACGCGGGGTTTTTTAACGTTTTTTTACTGCGTTCTTACCTTTTGTGGGTTGTCTGGGTGGGGGGGTGGGGTGATGTTAATTCCTGGAAGCGTTACGTGACATACGCTGGGGTTGGGGTGGGGGGGGGGGGTGATGTTAACGTTCCTTGTTACGTGACATACGCTGGGGTTTGGGGTGGGGGGGGTGGGGTGATGTTAACGTCCTTGAAGCGTTACGTGACATACGCTGGGGTTGGGGTGGGGGGGGTGGGGTGATGTTAACGTTCCTTTACGTGTGACATACGGGGTTTGGGGTGGGGGGTGGTGGGGTGATGTTAACGTTCCTTGGAAGCGTTACGTGACATACGCTGGGGTTGGGGTGGGGGGGTGGGGTGATGTTAACGTTCCTTGGAAGCGTTACGTGACATACGCTGGGGTTGGGGTGGGGGGGGGTGGGGTGATGTTAACGTTCCTTGGAAGCGTTACGTGACATACGCTGGGGTTGGGGTGGGGGGGTGGGGTGATGTTAACGTTCCTTGGAAGCGTTACGTGACATACGCTGGGGTTGGGGTGGGGGGGGGTGGGGTGATGTTAACGTTCCTTGGAAGCGTTACGTGACATACGCTGGGGTTGGGGTGGGGGGGGGTGGGGTGATGTTAACGTTCCTTGGAAGCGTTACGTGACATACGCTGGGGTTGGGGTGGGGGGGGTGGGCTGATGTTAACGTTCTCCAGTAACTTACTTCTGAGACGAGGTTGATGCTACGTTGTAACATCTTGTCTACATCTTCTCACAACTAACTTCGGATACGCTCTGGATGCTACGTTGTAACATCTTCTCACAACTAACTTCGGATACGCTCTGGATGCTACGTTGTAACATCTTCTCTCCAGTAACTTACTTCTGAGACGAGGTTGATGCTACGTTGTAACATCTTGTCTACATCTTCTCACAACTAACTTCGGAAACGCTCTGGATGCTACGTTGTAACATCTTCTCTCCAGTAACTAACTTCGGATACGCTCTGGATGCTACGTTGTAACATCTTCTCTCCAGTAACTTACTTCTGAGACGAGGTTGATGCTACGTTGTAACATCTTGTCTACATCTTCTCACAACTAACTTTGGATACGCTCTGGATGCTACGTTGTAACATCTTCTCACAACTAACTTCGGATACGCTCTGGGTGCTACGTTGTAACATCTTCTCTCCAGTAACTTACTTCTGAGACGAGGTTGATGCTACGTTGTAACATCTTGTCTACATCTTCTCACAACTAACTTCGGATACGCTCTGGATGCTACGTTGTAACATTTTCTCTCCAGTACCTTACTTCTGAGACGAGGTTGATGCTACGTTGTAACATCTTGTCTACATCTTCTCACAACTAACTTCAAAGCCTTTGGCAATGGACCTACAGCTGGCAGTACAGATACAACAATGGCAAAGACCTTTGCACAGCTGTGCCACATGTCCTGAAGCACATCAGAAATGCCTGAGTGCAAAACAGCCCGCGTCTTTACGGGCGGCGTTACCTAGTTTAAGTTGGTTTATAAACCATTATAAACCCCTTTATTCGTAGATTTGTAAATATCGACCATCTATAGTTCACCTATTTAAACGTTCACCAACGGCCCGAGGTTTGCCGGCGCTTCGTCAGAACCCATCGAAGATGGCGGATGGCGCAGCGAATCGCTGAGGATGTCACTACCGGTCATGTTGACGTGGCATAGGAAGAAATCATCATTTTGGGTGGGAAATTCAGAACTCACATCTATAAATGATGAAACTATGTGTATATATATATGAAATAATTGGATTTAATGCGTACAAAGGATTATACAGGCAGAAATTATTTGTGATTGCTGGGTCCAAATGGTATAAAAGGAAGATTTCTTTATTGCCATGTTTGATTACCAGATGGTAGTGCTGGAAATGCGGTTATTTCTGCAGGCTACAAAGCAGGCTGTTTCATCGAACCTTCGAACACCGAAGTGCGGTGTCATCGACCGACGGCTGCGTGGATACGAAAACAAATCTATGCCCTGGCTGGTGGTGTCCAATGATATGATGATCACATATCACATAGATTTTGTGCTTCCTTTTTTCACAAAACAGATCAAAATACTGATCCAAAACTATATAGCTGTTGTTTTTGGACTATTTACGGTAAAGGAAGAGGTTTGGTGTTTCCAAATCTTGAGAAAAGCTTATAGTTTTCTTATAGTTCATCCGGGATGTTACCCCCACAACTGAATGCCAGTGAAGGTTGGAAGCATGAGCCTTTTTCTTGATGTTCTTGCATGGGAACAAAACCTTAAACTACTGTAATTGTTACAACGGGCTTTATATGTATATATATAAGCTAAACCTATAATATATGTATATATATACATACATATATATATATATATATATAAACGCACACACACATATATATATACATATCTATATAAAGATTTTTTTTAAAAAAAAAAAATATATATATACGTACAGATCTATATAAATACTTTATATATATACAAATATATATATATATATATGTAAATCAGTTATAGCCAATGTTCACCTTCTCTTCAAGTCAACTATGTGGCCCGCTCACCTATATCAGGTCAAATCACCGTTTATTGATGTTTAGATTCTCATGTGAACGTACATCGTGTCATATGCTGTTGCATCCCCACTTGGTATGATCACACCAAATGATTCCTAGGTTTCTTAAATGGGTGGCTCAACCATCAACAAGCTGCTTTATCATTTTTCCAGCTCCAAATGGCTAGCGTTTTCTGCTTTCTCAAGTCATCATCACAGAGCAATGTGCTGCAACTGTACTTTTTGGGGTTCCACATGTTTGAAACAACCCCAGTTCTTATCCACTGTTACAATATTGTCTTGAATCTGTTGAAAAAGTTGGTTTTCATGATTTCTTGATGGCTAATTTACCTAAAGTAGACATGGAAAACCAAGCGAGCACAGACCAAAAGGTTTCCACCGGGATTTTCAATATGTCAGTTTATCTCGGGTCCAACCGTTTTGTTCTGCATGGATATGATTGCCAGTTTTTGGGAGTTAAACCATAACAGACATTAAATATTGTTGATTGCTAAATTGATGATCGCATCCCCATTTCGATCATTGATGGTTTAATTGCTGGTTATAGACTTTATTATATATCCCAACATGGCTGGTTTAAATCAAGTAACATCTCCATTTAGCTCTTTTCAAGTTATATAACACCCCCATGATTATTTAAATTAACATCAACTTAAATCCAAGTGTTCATGGTTTGAATCAAGTGAATTCACTTTAAAACCACGATGTTTATTCAAGTTAAAGCCCTATCTTGATGGATGAAATCCAGTGAAGTCAAACGTTTTATGGTTAAATGCACTTATAAATCCAAATTTTCATGGCTTGAATCACGTTAATTCCTTTGAAAACCCTGATGGTTATTCAAGTTCAAGCCCGTTTTGATGGTTAAAAGAAGTCAAACATCCAGTGAAGTCATCATTTTGCTGGTTTACATCATATGGATTCACCATTTTCATGGTTATATATATATATATATGGGGAAATTATAACGACTTCACTGCGAACTCACTGGAAATCATGGTTAGTAAGGGAAGTCATCCCCAAATGGCCTTAATTCAGGATAGTGAAACATTATAATTTACCCAGATATATGTATCATTATGGATCCAAACAGTGTCTTTTTTTCACCTTTAGGACGAACAGCTGCTGTAGTGGTGCCAACAGGTCTCACCCAGACCTATGGTTTTGAAAAAAAAATATAATAAATGATACCCCAACACACTTCCTTTCAGAAGGTATTTGGATCCATAGGCTATATACGGTGTATGGTTAAAACAATCATATACCACCCACTCAGAATGGTTTATACCTCCCATTTGTATCATTTATTATTGTTTTACCCACATTAATCCATGAAAGTCATCATTTTGCCGGTGACCCTCCCGGCCTGGTTGGCCCCTTGTCCAGGCCGGGCGAGGCCGTTGGTCGCCCTTGACGACACCGAGCAGCGCTCAGACGCCGCCGTGTCGAAGCGCCTGGGGCGAGGTGGGTTGAAAAATCGCCTCGAGACCGCCGGTTTTTGACGCTTCGCCCCACAACGGCGTGCACTTCTTGAACATATCAACTGAATGGTGATTTAATGGGACTTAATGGTGATTTAATGGGACTTAATGGTGATTTAATTGGACTTAATTGTGATCTATTGGGGACCTCATGGGATTTTATTTTTATTGTCTTTTTTGCATGGAACTATGTAGCAGTTAATGGGAATTTCACGGGGGAGTTCTCATCTATGTTACTTTACCCCAGGGTATAAACTACAATGTGTAGGAATAGGAAAAGATGTTAAATGCAAAGTGTAGAGTCTATGAACAAACAATCAGTCTGCGGAGTTTCCTTGACACCTCATTTATGATGCTATAAGTTGCTAATTATAAGTATGTTTATGCTTATCCTCCGGTCGTTCCTTTGTCGGTTGTGAGGCTGGAGCCCCTTCGTTTGTTGGTGATGTGTTTTTGTTTTTGTTCCCTTTACATGGTTTAAGGTCTGGGACAAAGTGTAGCATTTGAGATATATCCAATCCTTAAGATTCATTTATATAGATACCTTTATAATTATATATTAAAATGTGTGTTTTAGTCTTAAATATGTGGACGAACAACTTCCAGGAATATTCAATGGCCAGGCGCCCACCTTTGGTTCTCCTTTGGGAGAGCCGGCAAATGACCGCACAAGGCGGGCGAGTTCAAACGGCCAGATGTTGCCAGAGTAATTAACTCAGTCTGGTTGTATCTAGCTGTTTCTCTGCAGGTGTTCAATTAAATTACGATGCCATGGCTAAAAGTTGATATTTATTGAATTTACTGTATTGATGGTTTTGTATTACGATATTTATTGCTTGTTTTGTATTCTTGTATCATGATACTGTCATAAATCCCGATCCTGGTGATATTTTAGACTTTGCCGATTGGCATTTGTGGTGATCTATAGGGGGGGTTCCTTTAATGTGCGACCCCCAAAACCATCCAAAACCAGGTTTCAATACTAAAGTTGTTGTGTTTTTTGGCTACGTTATGGTTTTACATCATGTTACATCCCTATACATTTTGGATCATTTTGAAATCCCACATTTGCTCGTTTATGTGTTTTCACGACTTGGCAATTTCCTTTTTTTTTCTCACTGGGAAACACACAAAGTCATACCGGTGTTTTTTGTTAACTCATTGTTTTTCTTACTGTATGCCAAAATGCATGATTGAAAAGACCGACAAACCTGTAAAAACTCATGGGTCAACTCTCTACTATTTTCTGTCAAATCAAATGCACGTCAGATCCTCATTTTGTTTGTCAGAAACCAGGGTTCCCAAAATCTCATGGTTGATCATCATCCCATTAGTTCATGATGATCCTATATAGTTAAGTCCTGTCAGTGATTCCTGGACGTTGGCAGTGTATCCCATTACTCACTGGTTAAATATGGTTAAATCAGTTAAATCATCAATTTAAATCACCCATGTTTGTTGTTTATATATATAGATCCCAGTAATAGATCCCCTATTTGTATTACTGAAATCCGCTATTTTTCGGACACGTCGGATTGCCATGTTGGCGAAAAGCACCATTTCCATCCATTTCCCCAGATTTTGTTTGATCCACTGGGCACAACTAATTGCAACCCACTAGCTAGGAGTCGTTCAACAAGTTATACCGCAAAAAATGCAAGCAAGGAACATGAGAAACCCCAAAAAAATGTAGAAGAATAGGAACCCACCAACAAAATTCACCATATGTAGCACCCCCAAAAATTGGTCAACCTTTGTTAGAAACAGGCCTCCGACGTCACCCCTGACTCGCATCTTCCTGCGACCCTTACAGCGGCACGACACCACGAGGACGACACAGCCATGGGAGCCCATGGAGATGGAGATCCCTTCGGAAAAAAATGGAACATTGGAATCATTGGAATTGTACACCCTATGGTGAACTACTGTAACAGTTTGCAATTGAAAATGGCCATAGAAATAGTTGATTTACCCAGCTATAAAATGGTGATTTTCCATAGTTATGTAAGCGTTTACCAGAGGGTATCAATACACAGGATTGGTTTAAGGGAAAATCTACAGGAACCCACTGTTTTTTTCGCATAAAATGTGGGGGTGTTTTTTTTTGATAGATTTTCGCTTAAACCAATCCATTGAATCAAAGACCACGGCTCATTATCTCTCGAGATTTGCCAGAGAACTGTTTTGCTTGGCTTTGAAACGACAACCATGAGAGAATGAAAGAAACCGGAATTCTACATCACACATCGGATGGGTTTAAAACTTGACGGCAATTGCCTTTTATCAAGAATCCCTTTTGCACCGACCCTTTTTTGGGATGGTACATCAGGATTTTGGAACTTGACGGAATTGGTTCTATATGAGTTACAGTAATTATATATCCAGACGACGCATAATGATGGAAAATCGCGAGCCTAACTCATAGATCATACTGATGCTTGGCCTTGGTTTAGGAAGGTAGCATGCAAAGGCTTACCCTCTGGGAATCTAACAATGCTTTGGACGACCACCATTTTCAAGCTAATTACTGTAAATCATCGAACTAAATGGGCGATATATACCATAAGTGCTAAATTGATCTAATTTGGTTAAATTACTGGAGAGA